ACACACACACACACACACACACACACACACACACACACACACACACACACACACACACACACACACACCAGTCATAGCTGAGTGACGGCAGGTCGCCATGGCAACTGCGTTACGCTCCGGGCAGCCGGGGAGGGGGGGTTAGAGAAAACAAGCGCGTGAGGACACGGTTCACTCTTCATTTCAGCACCACGCGCCTCCTGGACAGCGCCCGCATGAACTCGCGCGCACATTCTACCTCCAGAGGGGACGGAACCGAAGCAGAACCGAGTCGAAACGGAGCCGAGGGAGAAACGTACACCACCAACAACAACAAGGCGAGGGGCAGGAACTCTGCGGACCTGTTAGTTCGGTTCATATAATCCGGACTTCCGAGCCAGGAGCGGGTCGCTCCGTGAAGAACCGCAGCAACAGGTAAGGCTTCACCCAGCTCGCGGTTCTTAAAGAGGCGGCTGCCCCTTCTTCCTGCCAGCAGCTTTAATTGCACTTAATTGCCTCCACCTGACATCTCAGGTGTAATTAAGTGGATGRTTAGAGGAGGGCAGACTTGAGACCAGCAGGAATTAAAGCTGAGGTCCAGAATATTTCATAACAAAATCTCCTRAACTTTGATATTTATTATGGAGAAACTCTGAAAGTTTTAATGAGCTGTTGCCATCAGTTCGGTTTTGACTGTTCAAGTGGAACAAGATAGGTTTTCTATGATATCCGCATGTTCCCCTGCGCTCCTCTGAACAGAGTCCAACAAGTTTACAGACTGTGCTTCATGGTTTGTTTGTCGGTGGCCGGAGATGATCTGTGTGCTGAGCTGATACGCCTAGATGAGTCACTCAGCCTGCAAGTTTGCAGAAGAGTGTGAAAGAGCAGCAGGAGGAGGAGGAGGTGGGGGGCAGCTGGAAAACAGCCCCAACACTTTCAGTTTGATTGTGTTTTTATATARTTAGTGTCAACACCTGGCTCTCCATTTGGACTCTGATTGTTTTTTGTTGTTTTTGCTGCAGAGCGGGACGCAGATGTTTTGTCCACAGCAGTTGTAAAATCTGTTCTTGTGCTCAGTTCTTGAAAAAAAAAGTCACCTTTTGTAAGCGCTGCCTTAGTGTTTGTTTAAATTGCACACAACGTGGATTAAAAGACATCTAAACACTCCCTGTAATAGACCATTTGTGGTCGTCCCAGAGTGTAACCCTCTGGTGTCAGTCAAACTGATACCAGAAAGCATCCTATTACTGCTCATTAGGATCCCGGTTTTTAGCCTGCTACTATTGACAAATCATAGCAATCTGCAGCACTCAGCTGTAGCCCTGAGTGACAGCCATTGATTATGGCAAACAATAGATTATAATGGACCACAGTTGCTCATTCAAACACGAGCGCGCACACTCAGACTCTTTGGACACACTTGTTCWGGCAAACATCGAGCAGCTCATAGGAGGAAAAAAGGCTCTCGTTTGTTGACTGAAAACACAAGTAAAAGCCAAGCTACAACATGAATGGTTCCTCTATATATTTGTTCTAATTAGTTTCTGGAACTTTCCGAGGTGTTGCAGTGWAGCTCATCTACATTCCCACGAATGCGGTGAGCGACACCTTTTGTAGAGCACACACGGACACAAAAACAGATGTGTGTCTTTAATTAGTGACGTTGGTGTGGTAAATGCAGCCTGCTGCTGATGACTCATTCACGTTAACCCCTGCTCCTCTGGTGGGAGAAAAAAAAATATGTTAGAACTCAACAACTGAAAAAAAGTATGTTTTTGATGATAAAATATCTGAGCTCCACTTTTCCGTTGTGAGTTAAAGTGACGGACTGGTTGTTGGTGGTAAACACTGTAATGTCTGGTTGTTGTTGTTGTTGTTGTGGCAGTGGACTAATGTTTATAGAAAGCACATTTGTGTGTTCATGTGTCAGTTCATCAGTGCAGCAGCTACATTCTCATTGTGGAAAAGCTGTCAGCCAAGCTGTGACTTGCAGACAGCAGACTGGCGGGGAGCGTGCATCTGACTGTGACAGAGTGCTGAGCGCGTTTGTGTGTGTGTGACAAATGGCCATCACAAGAGATTTAAACATGTAGCACGCTTTGATGATAATAAACTCCCATTGTTCGCCTTCCTCCCCTCCCCTCCGTCCCTGCAGGGCAGCAGCAGCAGCATGTCTGAGAAGAAGCCCAGCCAGCGGTTTCACAGCCTGAACTCGGAGCAGGTGGAGGTTCTCCACCAGGTGCTTTCAGAGGTGGTTCCCATCCACGGCCGCGGGAACTTCCCCACGCTGGAGCTGCGCCCTCGTGACATCATCATAGCGGTGCGAGCCAGGCTGCAGAGGCAGGGCATCGTGGTCAGAGATGTGCGTCTGAACGGCTCCACGGCTAGCCATGTCCTCGTGCGGGACAACGGAACGAGCTACAAGGACCTGGACATCATCTTCGGAGTGGAGCTACCGAGTCAGGAGGAGTTCCAGGTGTGAACTTTTCACTGTGTCAAATAAAGCCTTTTTGCCATTATTATTTTAATTATTATTAAATTAATAAATAAACTTGATAAAAAATAAAGGAATGGAGTTCAGTCTCACGCTGGATAATGCTCAGTGAAAATGTGAATGTTCTTCAGTTGTTTGATGTGATGAAATTTTATTTTGAAAAGGGTGAAGGAAGAGTTTCCATCATAAGAGCTGAGGAACCTCTTCTTTGGTCTAAGAATGCCTGAAACAAAATGAGAGGAGTTTGGTTCACTCTAGTGTTATTTTCATAAAAATAATAAAATAATATTTTGTTGTAAGATGGAAATAGAAGCCTCATCACACCCCGATTTCTGTCATCAGTAAAAGTTGCCATGTCGTTTATCTCGTCTCCCTCTAGGTGATTAAAGAGTCGGTGCTGGGCTGCCTGCTGGACTGCCTGCCTGCTGGAGTTAACAGAGAGCGGATCAGCAGTGCCACAATGAAGGAGGCCTACGTTCAGAAAATGGTCAAAGTCTTCAACGACCACGACCGCTGGAGCCTCATCTCCCTGTCAAACAACAGCGGCAAAAACCTGGAGCTCAAATTTGTGAGTGCGCTAAGGCGCCAGTTTGAGTTCAGTGTGGACTCTTTCCAGATCATTCTCGACCGTCTCCTGGAGTCCTACATGCAGCAGGACTCGCAGAACAAACTATATACGGTTAATGGTAAGGACCGTGCAGCAGAGGGTGAGAATAACTCTTCCTCTGTGCACAGTCAGTCCACCACTTCAGACTCAGAGAAGTCCACAGTTGTATCCAATGAACACAAGGCTCAGATCAGCCGGATGCAACCCAGAGATGAAGTGCATGAAAAGGAGTCTCAGACCGAGTTCTTACAAGTGGAGCTTTCAACCCAGACAAAACCCTGTGACGCACAGAAAGAGGAAACACCTGCAGAGCCTGAAGAAGTGTCTGAGCACAACACAAACCCAAACAAGACAGAGCAGACATCTCTGTCTGAAAAGAAACAAACTTCTGAAAAGCCCGAGCTACCGGATCAGACTGAACAATCCAAGCTCTTAGATGAGTCGAAGTCCATAATGACAACAGAACAGTTGGAGCAAACCAAGCCCTGTAATGGTCAACAAGCAGAAGACTTAAATCACAGTGAACTTTCTGCACTGAAAGAACTAACTAACCACACAGAACCGCTTGGAAAACAGAGAAAACTCACGGGACAGATGGGACATTCTGATCCACTCAACACCTCCAAAATAACTCAGTGTCTAAACCGTGCAGAGGAGCCTCACAGTACGGAGCAATCTGATAAAACCGACTTATCTAAGCATTTCACAGAGGATCAGAGAGGAAACGAGGAAGATAAAAATCAGCACGTGTTTGCTCTAGACTCATGTGCAAACTTAGAGACCCAGCTAAAAGATGAAGGAAAACAGGAAAAGGAGAACAGTGAGCAGATTGAAGCAGAGAGAGAAAATGATCTGAAAATCTGTGAAATCACAGAGATTTCAGCATTAGAGGAGAAACCTGTAGAAGACACAAAGGGTATTGATTGTTCCTGCTCCACCTCTTCCACTCTTCCACTTAGCAACACACAGCCCACTGACACCGAGGATACACCAGAGACTCACAGCACACAGCACACAGATAACTCAGAGAAAACAGCCAGCACACTCGATGCTGTCAGCCCTCCAGATTCTCAGGAAATTTTACCCGCACCACCTAGCCTTGTTTCTGACAAAAAGACCTCCTCTGCTCCCTGCAGTAAGGTCTCAGAAAGACTGTCTCACATGGTGGTGCTCAAACACTCATCCCCAAAACCTCCTCGGAGGATGTGTCGAAAGGTTACCTCTTATCCTCACCCCAGCCAAGCCTCTGAAAATGAACTGCTTGTTGCACCTTGTCCAGATTATCACCCTTGTTCCACAAATGAACCAGACAAAGTCTTTGACCTGAAACCAGCATGTCCCATTTCATGCCCTACAACTATACCAACAAGTATTTCTGAACGTAATCCTTCCAATGACCCATCTTCAGCAGCTGATCTTACCTCAGATCCTGTTCCAGCCCCTGATATAGTTTCCACCTCATGCCCAGATCCTGTGACTATGATACCTCAAGAGACATCTACCTCTCAGAAAACTGCTGATGGTTTATGTGAAACAGGCGTAAAGGAAACACTGAATACATGTGTTGTTTTCAATGAGCAAAGCCAGCCCTGCCCCAGAGAAACTGTCTCCGAACTCAAAGAGTCAGAGCCTTTTAACCAACCGGTTTCTCACACCAACATATCCAGCTCTAAAATCCAAGAACCTGCACCCACAGTTGATGGAGCTGAGGTCCGAACAGAAGAACAGACCAAAAATATTACCCCAAATCCACAAGAAAATACTTCATCACTCCCATCTCACAGCATCGTTCCTCCTCTTCTCAGTTTCACCCCCTCACCCCCCAGCCACAGTCCTCCCCCATGCCTGACCCCTCCATCGCCAATGCTAAGCACCATGAGCCCCACCACCAGCTTCAGTTCTCCTCCTCAAAGTTTCAGCCCAACCTCATCCTGCCTCAGCTCGCCTCCGTACCTCACCCCTCCCATGCTTAGCCTTAGCCCTCCTCCGCTGTGTCCATCCCCACCGTCCCCCTGCCTCAGCCCTCCCCTCCTCTGCTTCACTCCGTCAGTGGAGTCTGGAGAGCTTTTACCTCAGGTAGCTTCAAACATGGAGCCTTTGATTGTGAATGCTGACAGGGATGAACAGATTAATGGTCCGTCCCCTCAATCAGGAGTTCCTCCGTTACCATTGGATGATAAAATGGACCATAGCTATAGCTCACTGATGCCTCAGGTTGATGAGCCTGTCTCTTTTCCCATCACAATTCCAAGTTCCACCTCACATATGTTGCCTCATTCCACTTCTGAAGGCTCAGGGAATTCTGCTTCTTCTACAAACAGTGAGGTGCCCAAAACTGTACCTGACAATACAAAGACCCCTAAAGTAACCACAGACGCATCTGAACTGTGTAACTGCCCTCGAGGATCGGACTCGGTCCCTGATGTTGAGGTTCTAGCAGAGAGCATGTACGGCGACTTTGAGGCAGCAATGGACCACCTGCGCTATCGTTTGATCGCTACCAGAAACCCAGAGGAGATCCGAGGTGGTGGCTTATTAAAATACAGCAACCTCCTGGTCAGAGACTACCGACCAGCCAGCGAGACTCAGATAAAGACTCTGGAGCGCTACATGTGCTCGCGCTTTTTCATCGATTTCCCCGACGTGCAGGAGCAGCAGAGGAAGATCCTGTCCTACTTGAAGAACCACTTCATCGGAGAAGAGAGGAGCAAGTACCAGTACTTGATGACGTTGCGTCGCGTCATAGATGACAGCACGGTGTGTCTGATGGGCCACGAGAGGCGTCAGACGCTGAACATGATCACAGTGCTGGCGCTCAAGGTTCTCGGTGAACAAAACATTATCCCCAACACAGATCACGTGACGTGTTTCTACCAGCCAGCTCCGTACATGGCTGAGCACAGTGCTCCCTATCTCACAGAACCCAGCTACTGCAGCTACTACATCCCACAGGGGGGRTCGACTCTGCTGTACCAACCTTACCCATTACACCTGCACCCACAGACCGGACTAGTCTGAGACCCTCGTGATCATACACAAAACACACAACTGAGCAAAATGTTTGCAGAAGAGCCAGAGAAAGGAAATATTATCCAGGGATGAACTGTTTGGTCTATAATAGACCTGTGGGGGTGGGATTGAGTGGGATTTACAGTGAACTTATTGAGTACTCCATAAGGTTCTAACACGATTATATCTAATTACCCAGGCTTTGTGGGGAAAAAACTAATTCTTCCGATATTGTTCAAATTCCAGAAAATGCTGTTTGCACTGCATGAGTCATAGACCTTTGGTCTCCCTGGGAAACCAACTGCGCTGTTCGCACACACTTACACACACACACACACACACACACACACAC